AATGAACAAGCAGAGTAGCGCTCGAATGAATATCGAAGTGTTGAACAACAGAATGACGATCCTCCGTATCTCACGTATTCGATAGCTCATGTGTTTCTATATATTTCATTCTTATTCATTGTATCGTCATTCAGTATTCACGTATGGCGATACTTCATTCCACACTTCTTATGAATGAACAAGCAGAGTAGCGTTCGAATGAATATCGAAGTGTTGAACAACTGAATAACGATACAAGGAATGGCAAGCCAGGATATAGGAATGCCAGAGCTAGTCTAGCTGTGAGATGTGAGGATTTGGGAGGGAGATCGAAGGGTCTCGAAGTGTCTCAGCGAGGCCCGGAGAAATCCCGAAGGTCGAAATGGAAGGTCTGGAGAAGCCGATGCGGTTCTGTCAGAAAGGAACCGACCCGTGGCTTCGCCAGTGTTCGAGCGTACGCGACATGGCTCAGTAAGGAATGGGAAATTCCTGACCCCCCCCCCCCCCCCCTCCTCTTAGCGAAGGTAATCTATTAGCCACGTGCTTGCGTTTTTTTTTTTTTTTTTTTTTTTTTTTTTTCAAGTATCGAAGGTGACTGACTGTATCTGGTCCGAGGGCACCCACGTGTCATCCTCGCTGGTACAATTGGTCCATCGTATCAAAAAGTCAACGTGTCGTTCCTGGCCGTCGATGCGAATCCGATGGCTCAAAATCTTCGATGGCTCGATGGTCATCTCGGCTGTTGGCTGTACTTCCGGGACCAATCACTGTCGAGCGATGTCTGACATGTCAGGTACGAAGGGTCGCAACAGGCTTACGTGAAACGTGTTACGAATATGCCAATCATCAGGTAGGCATAATTGGGCGTCGTAATCTTGTCGGTAGTGGCAGCCCTAAATTCTTGGTGTCTAAAAGGACTAGTTGCCTTGATGCCATGATAATATCCCGTCGATCCGCATACCGTCGGGGAATGGTATTAGCCTTGCGAATAAGTTCGACAACTTTGTCACGGGCAGACTGTTGCGAATAATTTTGCGAATAATTCTTCTACGAACTGTTGCGACCGTGGTACTTGAATCTCGATGCTGGTGGAGATAGGCACAGTAATTGAGGTAACACGGGGAGTGATTAGTCGTAGCTGAGGGTGAGTTGTTGTAGGAAAATTCCAACACGGGCAGCGCGTCCTCCCATTTGTTTCGGTCGGGGCAGTTTGTCCATATCATCAGCTCCATCGCTTGATTTGTCCTCTATGCCTGATAATTCGTTTGCGGATGATAAGTGGATGAGAATTGCAGGTGCATGCCGTACCATGCCCACGTGTCTTGCGAAAACTTCACTGTGAACTTCGGGTCTCGATCACTAATGATTGCTGCTGGTATCCCGTGTAATCGAACACCGGTTGAGATGAACACACGATTTCTTCAGGTGTGATTGTCATACGACATGGTGCGAAATGCGCCATTTTCGTCAATCGGTCGACAACAACCAATACAGCGTCGTTTCTACAGGATCCAACCGGCAGATCTGTGACGAAATCCATCGTCACGTGTTGCCATGGGCGTTGACGTGGCTCGAGGGGTTGCAACAGTCTGGTCGGTCACTGACGTGATGATTTCATTCGCTGGCAGATCGGACACGCGGCCACGTAACGCTGCACGTCCGTTTCCATATCTGGCCGGTAATAAAACCGCTGCAACGCCTTCAGAGTTTTGTCAACCCCAAAATGTCCCAATAAATTTGAATCATGGACTTTTTGAATTAGTAATTCGTGAATTAGACGACAACTTGGGACCCAAACCCGAGCCGTCCCACTTCGTAAGTAAAACAGACGCATTTCCGTGTAGTGACTTGGAGATGGCTGTCATTTATAAAGAAGGGGTCGGTTGAATACCCGTGGGAAAATAGTCCACTCAGTGGTGGGTTGCTCAAGGCGACTAGTACTGCTCCGAGCTGGGCAAACGGTCAGGAGAGAGCGATGGCAATATTATTGGCGCCCTTCTTGTACGTGATTTTGTACGTGACGTTAGACTCCAGGTAGTCTAGCCAGCGGATCTGCCGCGGGTTGAGATTCTGCTGCGCCCTCAGGCGGGAGCGGTTGATAGCATGTATCGGAACTACCACCCGGTGGGGATGGTGTTTTTTCGTGTGATGGGGCTGTTAGTATTAAGGACGGAGTCTAGGTGAACTTAGGAGCTAGAATTACTCAAAATATAAATCCGAAATTCTGGACAGAAAAGTCGTCTTCACAAGAAACGACGTCGACAAACAACTAGCCGTTGGAATGTCGCGAAACTTGGATATGTTGTAGCTCTTAATCTCAGCTACCGTTCCCAATTTGAATCATGTTGATTGATGAAGTATTCGAGACGCTATGGCTTTCGACGCATTAGGGGGTAAGCTGTAGGAGGAGAACTTAACTCAATCTCAAGAGTTCAATCAAAGTTCAAGAATCTCACAAGGAATTAGAAGGAGCAAGAGAAAGGTTGGGATAGAAGAGAGAGATGAGAGGGAAGGTCCCAAGAGAGTCCCCAACCAAGGAAACCCCATAAGCACAAAGATTCCCTCCCTATAGGAACCTCAACTTTGACCTTTGTCCCTTCCCAACCAATCCATCCAAGTTGGCCACCCTTGCCAACCTAGCTTGGTTGTTCCCAACCAATTTGCAGCTGTTACAGTAGAGTGACAAATTTCCCCAACCCCAAAGGTCCCAACTCCATATAAAGTCACCCCACAACTTCACTTTGTAACCGCCGCAATTGTAACGCAAGCTCATGAACTTTGAATCTTCATAGCTTTCGCGTTCTTGCTCCGATTGAAGCGATTCTTGTTGCGTCGGAAAGATCTTCTCAAGATCTATCATCACAAATACCTGCTCAAACAAAAATAACACAGAACACATTCCCAAACTCCAGAACACACACCACACAAATGCTTGCACATTCAAACCACACATGCAAGTTGAAAACATGGGATGGGAGGCAGACAGAATGTGATAGCATATGATGACATCACACAACAGGGGCAGGGTCAGTAACGGGCCCGACCACTACTGATGCTTGGCGTTTCCTGCCTTGCCCTCATCGTTCTTCTTTATCTGCTTCTTTCGGGGGCATTCGCGAGATTGGTGACCCAGCTGGTGGCAGTCGAAACATTGTTCCTTGCGAAAATCTTCCATGTGCTCCTTCGCTTCTATGTCGTAAATTGTGTGCCGTGGATCCAGGCCACAAAAACGATTTCCCTCCGAGGAACCCGCTTTCGCTTATGCACGACGCACGTCGAAATTTTTGGAGATCGAATTGCTCCGTGAAACATCGCCGGCAGTCGCAGGCGAACTTTGCACTTGACCTCCTGCATGTCCGTAATCTGATCGCATGATGCCATGAAGCCTGACGCATAATCCTGGACAGAAGTCCCTGGCGCCAGTTGTTTGGCTTTGTGCGTGCGTTGTCCGAGGTAGATATGAGCTCGAATATTTCACGCAGAGCTGTACTGGTCGAACCGAAAATCGTTGTTGACCCAAAGTTTATGAAAAGAAACCCTGTGTGTTACCTACCAAAAACTCCCCCTCCTGTATATGGTATATTGCCTTCAATCTAGCGCAGGTCCCGGCAGTAGTGATACAGCTGGCCAAAATTTTAAACCGTCAACAGTGATTTCAGAGGCATTAAAATAAAATTCCGCCGAATATAACAAGCCCGTAACAGTAGTATTCTTAACTATTGCGTTGAATGGGGGGGGGGGCATTGTCGGTTTGATTGTCGCCATCGTCATGATCGGCATGTCTGCGGGTGCGGCTACATTAACTGTTACAAGATCGAATGAGGTTTGCTCAATGTTGCACTATTGATCAGTACAAGGTGCTTTTATACTTCCAAAGTACATCAAGTAACCATATTTATCCTATCCAAAGGGAATAGAACCTTCTAGAAATAGTCACCTTGCGTATAGCCACGCGAGGCTATTGGCTTTAAGGGATTACAACAGGATTACGCTAGATAAAGCACGCCAATACACCCCGAACCTGGTCGGTGATATAATTAGAATAACTGGATAATCCAAAGGATAATGGAAAACGAGGGATAGGATACTAGATGAGATAAAGACCAAATAAATCAGGAGTAAAAGAGGAATAAGATAGAGAAGAAATATGGAAATCAGAAAGAAGTGTAACGAGGACTCTCACAATGGCGGCTGCTTCTGACCAAGCAGCTGGTGTTGTCGTTGCTGCTGTTTCGGCTGCTGCGCGTGCTGCCACGACAGCTGCGGCGGCGGCTTCGTTGTCCTTGCGCTTCTGAGACACTTGACATGTGATTTCGTCTAAGACGGTTTCGACACGTCCGGTACTGGCGACCACAGAAGTCGTTGAGTTACGCCATGCGCGAGAGGATTCACGCCAGAAAGTTGAAACAACTTTTACGAGATAAGAAAATTGGTTTCGAATATAAAAATATGGGAAGGTTACCATAATCCCCCGAATATAAGCATATATACGCTTATAACTAAGCCGTTTGAAATTTCATATGCGTTGTTGATCGAATAATTTTATAAGCCCATGCGTTTATTGAAAGTGTGTCAATGTTAAACGTTTAAATGCATTAAAATTTAGCCAAATGGAACAATCTCTATAGAGGGGTGTTGACATATTGTGCGCACCTGTCTCACGAGACACTTGCAAGAGTTGTTGGAGGGATGGCACGGTATTTTGATATACAAAGTTCGCATTTCACTCATTCGTTTACATCAATATAATGCGCTCATACGAAACATCTTTTCCAATATAAGGGTGCGCTTATGATGAATTAACGGATATAAGAGCATGTGCAATCCAGATGCCCAATGTGTTAACTGTTGTGATATAATTGATACTTAGCATTTCTGTAAGTCGATTAAGTTTAGTCAGTCTCGAATCATACTGTAGAAGATAATTCCGTAGGATGACGTCAGCAGATGGCGCTCGTCATAGGACAGTCGTTTCAGTCACACGAACAGTCGCACCTCTTCAATATCGTTTAGAGCGCATAGCGCGATAATGACGAGCAGGTACATTAGCGAATAGGTACTTTTCCTAGAACTATAAATCTCTGTTAGGTCTTTTCATTATTGACTTTGATTACTCACAAGTTCACGTACTCATGATTATTCAACCTAGACCTTTATACTTTACAAGACTTTCGCTGTCTTACTAGTCTACCATTCCAGCAAAGATCCTGGACCAACACTTGAGGATTTGCCAAGTGTTCGTGTTTATAGTTTTACACTTAGTCTACTACAAAACCATACGTTTTATTTCATAATATGAGAGCTATCTGGAATTAAGACTACCGTCAACTATGACTGGTTCATCACCAGCACCATCTGCTGGATCAGTTACTGGGACTACTGGAGCACATGCCTCCACTACCGCCGCTGGTCTCTCAGCCTCTGGGCACTTTCCACCAGCCTATGCTAATATCGGTATGCAAAATCCGCCTTCTGTGAATACTCCAGGTGCTCCATCGATTGCACCTGCAACGCAACAGCAACAATCACAGACAACATCACAGCAACAAGCGTCAGTTCAGCCACCAGTTTCAACGCAATCGATTTCATCTGCGTTCAGTGGAATGAGCCTTGATGGCTCAAGTTACATGCGTGGAGCTATAGCTCCAAGTACTGGTTCGTTCGCTTTCTCACCTTTCGTACAGCAGCCGCAGTCGCAGCAGTTTCAGCATCCTTTTTACATCTTCGGTCGTTCCCCTGCACAACAACAACAACAACAACAACAACAACAACAACAACAACAACAACAACAACAACAACAACAACAACAACAACAACAACAACAACAACAACAACAACAACAACAACAACAACAACAACAACAACAACAACAACAACAACAACAGCAATATCAGCAACAGCAGCAACAGCAGCAACAACAACAGCAACAACAACAACAACAACAACAACAACAACAACAACAACAACAACAACAACAACAACAACAACAACAACAACAACAACAACAACAACAACAACAACAACAACAACAACAACAACAACAACAACAACAACAACAACAACAACAACAACAACAACAACAACAACAACAACAACAACAACAACAACAACAACAGCAACAGCAACAACAGCAACAGCCAGGCATTGTTTTTCAGCCTCCAAATTTACTTAACAATACTCAGATCAAGACAACCGTACCTTTTAATGGTGTTGACTTCTACTCCTGGAGCTTTGAGTTTGAGCTTCTGGCGCAGTCCGCTGGGCTGTGGCCGTTCTTCACTGGCGAATTTACGTACCCTGTCGTGGGAACACAACTGGAGCAGCAGAGTTTCTTGCACGCCTCTCTCGGGGCGTATACAGTTCTTGTACGGAACTTGTCGCCAAAGGAGCAGCTCGACGTTCGATCATTTCACTCAAGTTTCACACCAGCCGAAATTGCATGGAACCATCTGAAAGGGGTATACATGGCAAAGGATACGATAACCGTGAGTAAAATACTTTCGCAGCTGACAAGTGTGAATCCCAACCTCTCCGAAGCTGAAGTTTCTTCTTATCTTCAAGCAGAGCAGCAAGATCTTGACCTGCAGTCACAACGCAACCAGAAAAGGGGGGTTCATTTAAGTTTTTACTCCAATCCAGAAACACAGCATCGACATCCACCAAAGTATCCGTTCTGCCACTTCTGTAAGAACCAGGACATACTTACCAAAACTGTCGCAGCCGTCATCAAAATCGTCGCAATACTTCGCAGCCGTTAACGTCTCAGCAGCAGCAGATGCCGAAACCGCCGCAGAATCCATCGACGTCGCAGCATCGTCCGCCGGTCTTCGCATCTGCCACATCAGGAAAAGGGGTTTTTGGCTGCGTCACCACAGTTGATGTTTCAGAAACAGATTTCGAAACACGACTTGAAGAAACAACAAGTGCTGAAGGCATTCCTTTACCTCAAGTTTATGCTAACCTTGCTCGAATAATTTCAGGTCCGAATACCTGGTATCTCGACAGTTGCTGCGGATGGGACATGTGCTCAGCAGAAACAAGCTTCATTACAAATCAGCGTCCACTTCGTCGTCCGATACCTGTCACAGTCGCAAACGGACAAACGATAATGGCACGATCAGTTGGCAGTGTCATGCTCGAATCTATCGACACGGGATACTCACTTCATGTTACGAATGTTCTTATCGTCGCCGGTCTTGGCATCAATCTTCTTTCCACGGCTCAACTTCTGGCACACAAAATCCGCACACAAGGAAATTGTGAGACGATGGATCAGGAGCTATGGCACAGTACAAGTAATACCTACCTTGGTCGTGCCGCCACTCAACATGGCGTGTCGGTACATCAGTTCGCAGCATAGGGAACTTCTGGTGATTCTGAACGCGTCCTTGCACTTGGTCCCTGGGATCATCCAGAAGAAACAGATTATCAAAACGTGGATATTGACTTTCGAGCGACTTTAGTACCAACAGCTTCTCGAACAGCAGCCGCCGTACTTACCGCGTTGGATACCTGGGAGTTCAATACCGCCGATGAAAGCGCCACCGTGTGGCGAACGTTTTATAATACCCGTGCAGCCTTCCAAGGAACTCCAGCACCACTTTGGGGAGAGATAAGCGGTCTTGCCGCTGATGAACCTGACGTTGTTAAAGAAGCCGAACAAGAAGCAGTAGCTGAGCAGCCGAGTTCAACCGTAGCTGTCGCCGAAATACCTGCCACGACATCAACAGAAGCAGTATCAGGGATTATACTTGCAACTGCAGTAGCACCAACGAATGTCCCGTTACCTCTTAACCGTTTCGTCGAAGGAGACATTGACAAGTCACCAGCACTTTCTCCTTTTCTTCTTTCTTCTTTTTATACGAACTCTGATTTCTACCTGCGATCATAAGGACACAAAGCATCAGCAGACATATGGCATCAGCGGTTAGGACATCCATCACAGGGAATACTTAATCATTCAATCCGAGCAGCAGTTCTTGATAAGAATAGTCTACTTTTACCTGACGGCACGGAGATGAAGCCGCAGTCTCGCCCGACGGTTTGCACCACTTGTCCAGTTGCCAACCTTACGCACGATCCGTTTCCAAGTCATTTTCCTGGCTCAATCCGTTATCAACTGATGCAGAAAGTCTACAGCGACATACTCAACTTGTCTGAAGCAGGACCTGAAGACGAGAAGTATGTGATAACCTTCATCGAAGCGTCTACACGCTATGTCTGGACAGCTAACTTACCTGCGCGCCATCTCGCTCACTCCGTCTTCGTCGCGTGGCTTGCTGTCGCTGAACGAGAGTCAGGAGTGAAACTGCAAGAATTTCAAAGTGACGGTGCAGGGGAGTACACCAGCAATACTTTCACAGACTACCTTCAGACACTCGGCATCAAACGGAAGCAGTCTCTGCCGCATGCACACCAACAGATGGGGGTAGCAGAAAGGTTGAACAGGACTCTGCAGGAGAAGATGCGTGCTCTGCTGACGCAGGCAGCACTTCCACCGCATTTTTGGCCGTATGCGATGGATCACGCCGTGCTGTTACACAAACTTCTTTCTTCTACGTCCCTGCCCGCGTTTTCTTCTCCACACCTGCAATGGACACGTACACTGGGGAGCACAAAACTTTTACGAGTTTTTGGGTGTGTTGTACAGTTTCGTCCTCCAACTGCAGCACTCGGAAATTTTTCCGAACGAGCAAAATGGGGGGTATATCTCGGCATCGAAAAACAATATCACGCGTGGAAGATTTTGGATCTCCGGTCACACCAAATCGTTCCATCACGTAATTGTCATTTCTATGAACGACTCACCTTGCCCGTCTTTCGTGCCCACCAGGCAGCACCTGCCAATCCTGCCAGGCTGTTCGAAGGCTCGCGTGCATTTGCAACTGACGAAGCCGAAGCTGATGTCCAGGACGAGGATGTTTCTGAAGCTTCCGTAGCTGCCGCAACAGACATTCCCGAACCTGTAACCTCGACCGGCATACCTGAATTCATTCCTCTTGCAGATGCTGACCAGGATGATGTTCGTGAAGTTCATCTCAGTTACGAACGCGATCGCCAACAGCAGCCGATGCCCGTCGTCTCCGACGAAGCAGTCCGTCTTACACCTGACGAAATTGGGGGGGAAGAAGGACCAGAAGAAAATTTCGCAGGTGCAAACAAAGAACGTCCGCGTTTTACAAAAACAGGATTGCAGATACTGGGATTTGCAGTAGCAGTACAGCGCAACGACAGTAAGATACCTGAACCGAAAATAGTTCGACAAGCTCTTACGACTCCTCACCGAGAAAAATGGCACGAAGCTATGGACAAGGAGCTAACAGCACTCAAGAATCGCGGAACATGGGATTTAGTACCGACTTCAGAGGTCAAAGGGAAGAAGGTACTTACCGGTAAATGGGTCTTCCGCATCAAGACTAATGCAGACGGTTCGTTTGAGAAGTTCAAGGCACGATGGGTCGTCCGCGGGTTCGAACAAACTTACGGCATCGACTACGAATTAACTTTTGCTCCTGTCGGCCGACATACAAGCGTTCGGATTCTACTTTGTGTCGCCGCCTGCCGTAATCTCCGACTTCGACAAATCGACGTCTCGAATGCGTTTCTCTACGTGCCTGTCGACGCGCTTATTCTGGTAGAGTACCCGCATTCCTACGAAAATCCCTGTACGGCATTAAACAGGCACCACGGCTCTGGCAGCAGTATCTTCACTCTCAGCTGATCATTGCTGGATTTCGACAGTTACCGCATGATCAGGGAATGTATCTACTGACCGACGGCAGCAACTACATTTTACTCGTTGCCTACGTCGACGACATCCTATTCGTCAGTACTACCGATTCCCTCGCTGATATCTTCATACTGAAACTACAGAAAAATCTGCAGATTACCGTCTCCGCAACAGTCGCACAGTCTCTTGGTCCGAACATTTCCTGTTCACCGACGACTATTCATCTCACCGCTTCGAAGTACGCAGCAACTCTCGCTGCCTGCTTCAACCTCACGCCTACTACAGTCTCTACACCGTACCACTCACTACCGACTGACTACAAACCGAACACCGCACTGTTAACTTCAACCGGTTTACAGATCTATCAGCAGCAGTTAGGATGTCTACTCTTCGCAGCTGTCACTTGCCGTCCTGATCTAGCCTACGCAGCCAGTCAGCTCGCTCAGTTCCTACGCCGTCCTGAGGAGGAGCATCATCTTGATCTTCTCCGCGCGCTTCAGTATTTTATCTCGACACCCGACGTCGGATCAGTCTACAACGTCATCGGTTGTAAAACACTCTATCTACAGTATACGGTTTTGTCGACGCCGATCACGCTGCTGATTCTACTAATCGACGGTCACGCACTGGATTCATCTATCGGTTCGAACCTATTCGGCCTATCTCTTGGAATTCTACGAAGCACGAGCTGATTGCACTCTCCTCTGCTGAAGCCGAGTTTATTGCTGTCTGCACAGCAACACGCGAAGGACTTTACTTACTGGAACTATTGGAAGAAGCAAGGTTGACGACAACTGCCCAGTTTACCCTACAGTGCGACAATCAAAGTGCAATTCGCATCGCACATCAACCTGGTTTCGTCAACAGGACGAAGCATATTTCGCTTCGTTATTTTTTCGTCAAAGATGAAGTCGAGAAGGGGAGGATGCGATTGGTCTACTGTTCGACCAACGAAATGGCTGCCGATTTTCTCACGAAGAAGCTGACACGACAGAAATTTCAGTACTGTAACAAGCTCTGCGGAATCTTCAAGAAGTGAAACTATCGACGTTCCAGAAATGAAGGGGAGTGTTGTGATATAATTGATACTTAGCATTTCTGTACGTCGATTAAGTGTAATTAGCGTCGAATCATACTGTAGAAGATAAGTCCGTAGGATGACGTCCGTGGAATGAGCCTTGATGGCTCAAGTTACATGCGTGGAGCTATAGCTCCAAGTACTGGTTCGTTCGCTTTCTCACCTTTCGTACAGCAGCCGCAGTCGCAGCAGTTTCAGCATCCTTTTTACATCTTCGGTCGTTCCCCTGCTCAACAACAATATCAGCAACAGCAGCAACAACAACAGCAACAACAACAACAACAACAACAACAACAACAACAACAACAACAACAACAACAACAACAACAACAACAACAACAACAACAACAACAACAACAACAACAACAACAACAACAACAACAACAACAACAACAACAACAACAACAACAACAACAACAACAACAACAACAACAACAACAGCAACAGCTACAGCAACAACAGCAACAGCCAAGCATTGTAGTAGACTAAGCAACAGCCAGCAACATCCAGGATAAACGTATGGTGTTTGTAGTAGACTAAGTATAAAACTATAAACACGAACACTTGGCAAATCCTCAAGTGTTGGTCCAGGATCTTTGCTGGAATGGTAGACTAGTAAGACAGCGGAAGTCTTGTAAAATATAAAGGTCTAGGTTGGAGGGATGGCACGGTATTTGATATACAAAGTTCGCATTTCACTCATTCGTTTACATCAATATAATGCGCTCATACGAAACATCTTTTCCAATATAAGGGTGCGCTTATTATGAATTAATGGGCGTAAGTCGCGCTGTGCTTTAGGTTTTGCGGCAAAACGATTTTGGAGGTGAGGGGGGACGAGTGGAGCATTTGTGAGGAGAAGTTGGAGTTTGTAGATGGGGAGGAGTTAAGTGCGGTGAAAGGGAGGGAGTTGGGTGGGAGTTGGAGAAGAGGTTGGAGTTTGTAGATGGGTAGGAGTTCAGTGCGGTGAAAGGGAGGGAGTTTTATTGGAAATGTTGGAGTTTGTAGACAGGAAGGAGTTCAGTGTGGTGAAAGGGAGGGAGTTTGGTTGGAAATTGGAGTTTGTAGACGGGGAGGAGTTCAGTGCGGTGAAAAGGAGAGAGTTGGAGAAGAGGTTGGAGTTTGTAGATGGGTAGGAGTTCAGTGCGGTGAAAGGGAGGGAGTTTTGTTGGAAATGTTGGAGTTTGTAGTCTGGGAGGAGTTCAGTGCGGTGAATGGGAGGGAGTTTGGTTGGAAATTGGAGTTTGTAGACGGGGAGGAGTTCAGTGCGGTGAAAGGGAGGGAGTTGGGTGGTCAAAATTCGACCCCCAGAAAACGCATCTCTCATTTGAGAGTCGCGTTTTCAGGAACCCTACCTAGCCTAGCCTAACTTTAGGATGTCCACTAGTAGGTGGCGGGTAGTATTACCCGCTTTTCAGGGTAACCGGGTCGGGTATACCCGGACCCGCCAAGCGGGTATTGTATTACCCGCCCCCTAAGGCCGGGTCCGGGTAAGGGTCCTGGGCATATTACATGACCCGGACCCGACCCGAGGTCGGGTATATCAAACTGAGAGAAGTAAATGAATAGGTAGAGAGAGAGTACAGATAGATATACCTAAGTATTGTACCCTCTAAGAGGTGACCCTATACAGTCTATGCAAACATAACAAATACACATGTTTGACAGGGTATTGCAAAACCGGGTCGGGTCGGGTAATTACCCGGTTTTGCTCAAGCCTAATTGGAGGCATAATATGATGATTGACAAATATGAATGCAATGGTATACTGTAGTTGAGTTTATGTGTGTCCGTGGAGCTAGTGGCCACCGAGGGGGAAGGATTTTATAGTAAATAGACCATCAAGGTGACAACACCCGATTGCATTTATATAGTCCACACGCATTTCAGCATCACATGTTCGAAGAAAATTGAGGTGACAATAATGAGCAAAACAACAAATTGCAATAGATTCGAGATTCGGGCTGTTTTCAGAGGCTATGGAGCGACCTAAATACCGTTATGCCAACAAAGAAACATGTGGTTTGGCTAAATGTGTGCAATTTTACAACATTATTATTACAAGCCAGCGTTGATTCTTGCACTAGATAATGTAATTTTTCTTTCATTTCAGAGCCATATGAAGCATGGAACTTTGAGCTGAGCTGCAGAGTTTCCAAACACAACGATAGTGCCCCTTGAAGTGTTTTACTCCTTTGAAGTTTCTAAGGTGAAATGGGAAATGTGGTGGACATCAGGGTAATTTGGTGTTTGCAGGATTTCCTTCCCCATTTAACATTCCCTACGTGAAACTCGCAGCAGGGGCGATTTGGAAACTGGAGACGCGACAAATACGCCCTAGCTGACGAAGGGGCATTGCTGCTGCCAGTTGTTGGACAGCTCAATTGTCATTATATTTCGCCGGCACAAGTCGGCCTCTCCAAAAGTAATGATTACATTGCCGTCCTGAATTCCTCAGTTTTTTCATTGTTGCTGTGAGCTCTTTTCTACACTAATTGTGGCTACACCGTTCAGTCCCAACGAACGACCACAATTGCACCGTTTGAATCGAGCACGCCGGTATCCAGTATATGATGCGTTGTTCTCAAGATTCCTCCTAGAAAAACAACTGCCGGCGTAGAAAGTAACGTGCATTTTGCCGGCGTCGGTCCCTGACAAAATTTACCGGGCCCTGTCTGTCCGACGAGTGCGGCGGATGGGAGTCAAGGACTTATTTCTGACGGGCAAGTTTCCGGATTTTGACCAAATAACGGGTGAGTTTTCGACCAAAAACGGATTGTGACCTGCTCGATTTTCATGAATCCGGACACCGATAGGTACATTTTGATCAGAACACGTGAAGTGACGTGTGAGGTTTTGGGAAACACGGATACTACAGCACCCCATCGACCCCCCGCCATTCCCCCTCCTCAGGGCAAATCAGCCCTATCAAGGAAGTTCCAGAGGTGGAAGTCCAAGAGTTGAGCGGAGTAATCTTACATGGTTCCCTCAGTAGAATCCAGGAACTTTGAAAGAGCTTCTGTTATCACGGAAAAAATTCCGGGACTGAACCCGGACATTGACGGGTATCGTTTTACATCAACCCGTTCAATCCGGATCTTGCGAGAGAGATACCCGGATCTGCCGTGCGGACGAAAATCCGAAGGAATGCCCACCCCCCCGGATGAAATATTGTTGTTGTTGTTGCACTGAGTGGCTCGTGTGACTACATTCTTATTTGAACAGTTTCGCTGATTTATCAGAAACAGAAAACAATATAATGATAACTTCATGACTGGATTTATCCCAACAAGGCATTGGCGCACTGAATGTAACAGTTTTAAGGTTTACTTGTAGAAAAGAAGGGTCCGAACGTAAACAGCTCGTTTTTTGTCTGTCAGCAGCAGACTAATCGCCCGCGCCCAGAGTTGGGAAAGGGTGTTGTCATGCAGTTCTGTAATGTACAGTGGTAACAGAAATCACTCTCCACTCCACCACTGTACAGTGGTACCTCACAGTATTGCTCTACAGTAATGGACTCTCATTGGTTTTGGTTAGGGTGACTGGTGGGCTATCTGATTGGTCCGGAGGATTTTGACTTTGACGTTTGAAATTGCTTTTACCGAATCAGCTTCTTGATCGGTTGCCTGTCAGGCAAGCAGGACGGACCACGAAACGGCGCATCAACCAACCCGGCTGATGCCACTTAAAAAAGCAACGCGCTGAACAGAAGCCCGCACGCCCTTGCTGGCGGCACTTGGACTGAAACCGGCAATTTCGGGACACGTGTACACACTTGGTTGCCAGGGAAAACCGAAATCGCTACGACTGGGCACTTTTTAAGTTCATTCAACTTACCCTCTCCCGAGCCGGGCCCTTCAAAATACGGGAATGAGTAACCACCCAACCGAGATGTTCTAGCGCAATTCCAATACACGTATAGATAGTATTTGACGTCAGGGCTTCTGTTAAATGACAACCCTCTTAGGGGAACACCCTTACATGGAATTTCAGACTTTGGCGTGGTACACCCAGTACACGCGGGCCACGGAATCACCACCTCCTTCGAAACCCATTCACGCACAAGGGAGAGACCAATATGCATTGATGTGACTAGCTCCCAGTCAACACGCTTTGGACAAAAAGGTGCCTGGTTCAACACGGTTTGGTTTGGCGGACAAGTCCTTTCCTAGTTCAAACCCGATGAGCTCTTTTTCCCCACAAGCTCTGACCAGCCACTTGGACTGGCGCCGTCTTAGTAGCGTCAAGTGATGCTGTAGTCGTAGGCGGCACGCGGACGCTAGATTCCGCCCTGTAACGTTGAGACAGCGTAGCAAAAGAACGCGGAATCCGGAGGAGGCTAATGCAGATACTATCTGTACTATCTGTAGACTAACTAGTAGAACGAATTCCCAAGAGACTCGCCAGTAGACTGTGCAGATTTAATAATGTTTCCCTCTCGATGGTCATATTGTGACCAATTCGTCGACTCGCCGGACAAAGTGGCGCGCGGCATGGAAGGGAAGCCCCGCCCAGGCCAGTCGCACGGTGCCGACGGGCAGCGCCGGATTCAAGAGGCTGGAGCACCCGTGCAGCAGCACACACGGAAAGAGCAGCCTGCGGACCAGGCTCTCAAAGTCTCTGGCGGTGGACCACCGCACGGCGGCGATCCGCCGATGATGGCACGCTCCACGAAAGCTCATCCTCGTGGCGTGCGCCGCATCGTGGAAGGCAGCGCTGGGCTACTAGTAGGGCAGAATGGTATCGCTTTGAGAGCGAACACGATGGATAGCTCGTCCGCTGCATCGGCGATGGACTCTGGCAGTGTATGTCCTCCTCTAGGGCCGCAGCAACAGCTGTGGGGACAGCTGGGGCAGCAGGAGAATCAGCAGCAGCAGGGGCAGCAGGAGAAGCAGCAGCAACAGCAGGGGATACCTCAGCAGCAGCAAAGACACTCAGGACCTGCCCAGCTTAGCCAGAGTCAGCTACCATCACGAGTCTGGCAACCAGCGGAGCTTTCTCCCATGGTACAGCCCGTGCAGCCAGGGACGCACCAGGACCACAGGCAAACACCTCAGCTGGAACAACCATACAGGCAGTCCAAGGACGTGCTAGAATCGGCAGCTTCGTTGTCACCGGCGCATCTGTCATTCCAGCCACAAGACGTGGGGCTGTGGAATGGGAAACAAGTGCAACGGGAGCAAGAAACACTGCACCCAGACCAGCTTCAGCAGCAACCGGAGACACAACGGCAATTCACACCACCACCCCAGCCAGCAGCACCGCTACAGCCACAGCTACGGATGCCTCAGCCAGTGCCGCAGTCGCCACAGGGGCAGCTAAGGTTGGAGCAACTGTCGGCGCAGCTACAGCCGCTGCTGCAGCAGCAGGTGCCAGGTGGCACAAATGACCCCGTTGACCGATCTCAGTCGGAGCCGACACGCAAGCGCACGGCGCGCAGCCGGAACTACACCCAGCCGGGGAAGTACCGGGGGGTGAGGAAGCGAGGAGAGGGACGGTTCATCGCGGAAATCAAGGACACGACTTTCGGTGTGCGCAAGTGGCTGGGGACGTTCACCACAGCAGAGGAAGCCGCCCTGGCGTTCGATCGAGCTGCGGTGGAGATTCGAGGGACGAACACCAAGTTGAACTTTCCGGAGCTGGTTCTCAAGGGTGGGGGAGCAGATGTGCCAGCATCTGCAGAAAGAGGGGAAGCATCCGTGGGAGCTGCAGAGATGGCGATCGGGACTACTGATTTGGGGGTGCAGAGGACACGTGCTGGGCGGGTCAAGCAGGGAGGTCGGTGTGGCTCTGGAAAAGAAAAGGAGGAGGAAAGCGATGGGGAGGCTGCAGCTGGGTGCATGGGTGAGGATGGATTCTGGCAAAGGGCGTATGGAGAGTCGATGGACTTGGTGCCACAACCAGTCGGTTTGGAAGCTGCAACAACAGCAGCAGCAGCAGCAGACATGGTTGGAGCCAGTGCTAGTGAGGACGTGGCTGGGGTGCTGCGGCCTGGCGACAGCTCCACTGCCAGTGGAAGCAGCTCCGGCAGAGCCGACCCTTCTACCTCGTCCGCCTCTGCGCCTGCATCCATACTCTCCATCCCTCCTGCCATGTTCCTCCCTCAAGAGCCAACTCCCAGCTGCCTGGCGACCAATGGGGCATCTGCCACCCTGGCGCCTGATTGGCGGCTCACAGAGGGCATTGAAGGCATGCCGGGTGAAGGTGCTGCTGCTGGTGCTCCTGCTGGTGCTCCTGCTGGTGCTAGTGCTGGAGGTGCTCGCGCTGTTGCTGGCGGTCTTGAGGAGGAATATGGATCGGAGGAGTTCCCTGTAGTAGAGGAGAGCAGTGGGAGTCAAGAGAGTGTGGCTGGAGAAGAGACATTGCAGGAGAGTAGAATGGAGGTTGGAAGCGACATTATAATGGGTGGAGAGATTCAGATGGAGGATCTGGCTGCCTTCTTCAAGTCGCCTCAACTCGACCCGTCTCAGCACCGACTCTGGGCGCCACAGCTGCCGCTGCCACAGCAGACGCAGCAAGAGTGGCGCCAACACCAGCAGCAGCAGGTGCAGCCACAGCAACAATACCAACAACAAGAACAGCATCAATGGGAAGTACAGCAATGGCACGGGCAGCCACAAATGGTGCTTCAGCGGCAACCCAAGCAGGATGAGAAGGCAAGTCCGCCTGTTTCTGAATCCCCACACCCCTTCCAGTCGTGGGCCATCACAGCCGCCATGCCCCTCTCCCTCGCCATGGCTCATCGCAGCAGCCCCCCACGCCGAGGCATGGCTGGCCAAGCAGCACTGGAAGGACGAGCAGAGACAGAGGCGAGTGCTCGATCAAGAGATAATCAAACCTCCGTTCAGCTGAAATCGGACGCAGGCGAGTTTGGAGAAGCTTCGGAGCTGCTTCCACCGCAGCAGTGTGCAGCAATACATGACTCGTGGTACGAGGGTGGTCAGGAGGGCGAACTGAGTCAAGCGGCTGCCGTTGTGGCGGCACTGGAAGCCATGGTTCCTGGGCTGCCAGGCCAAGCAGGCAGGGAGCACCCCGCAGGCGTGCATCAGGCGTTCCGGCAACAACCCAAGGCAGCGCAGAGTGAGGCGCTTGATGCGGCCATGCGTGGTGAGCGTGAGCTCCATCCTGGCTGGGACGGCGGAGGGCTGCTGCTGGGGAAGAGCGAGCAGCATGTGCTTGAAGCAGCATTGGGCGGCACGTGGGATGAGGCTCATGGTCACACAGCAGCGGCGGCAACATGGGACCTGCCAGCCAGTGCATGGAGCAGCGAGGCCATCGAGAACTTGGTGCTCAGCGATGGCGATTTGCTCCAAGGGCCAGTGGCAGAAGGCATGGATGGAGCGCGGCATAGTGCCATGCCGTACAGTGTGAATGGCCTGCAGAGCGTGTCTGCTCCCATCGGACAACACCATCAGCAGCAGTGCCAGGAGCAACAGCAACAGCAGTACAGTAACTATCAGCAGCAGCATCTGCTGCCGCCGCTACCGCTGCCACAGCAGCAGCAGCCCCAGAATGTTTCTAGTGCACCTTATTGGAAGAATGTTCTTCTCTCTGCTGCAGCCTCCTGGACCAGCGATGAGCACTTGAGTGAAGGATGGAGGGAGCAGCTAAGGAGGGGTGAGCTGGTGGAGCCAAGCATGGGTCACCAGCTGCTCTCTCAGCCTTGGCCCCAGCCACATCCCGAGCCTCAGACAGCTCACAACCGCGCTGTTTCCTTCTCCCTGGAGCCATCATCAGCTGTCGCAGCAGCTTTAGAACCCGAGCCGGGGGAAGACAGTGTGGATTGTGCAGGTGGCCTTGGTGCAAGGGCTGCTGCAGATACAGATGGCAGTGAGGGCCTCGCGTCCTCCCTGGTGGAGAGAAGAGCATGATGCCGGGAAGGTGGGCTGCTTAATGCGAGGCAGGGTGAGAGGAGGGTGGTGGAGCAGCAGCCCAGTGCATGAGGCCGCATGCACGCTCAAAAGCCCGTGGACAGCAGTCTGCCGCCCATGCGGCGCCACACCAGCAATTGTTGCAGGCAGCAGCACAGCAGGAGCGTGTGCTGGCACAGAATCAGCAGCCACCATGGGGCAGGGAGCACATGTAGGAGGGGGAGTGCATGCAGCAAGCCCTCTCCAGCATTCTAACAGACCAACCACTTCAGGCAGCACTTGAGGTGGCCAGGATAAATCAGTGGCTGTGCAGTGGCAGTTGCGGTAGACAAGCCAGCCCATGCCTGCCTTTTCTGTACCTGACCCTTTTTATGCAGACAGGAGTGCCATTAGAATCTTCCTAAAACCTTGTTGCTCATCCTCTGGAATGCATGATACTTTTATTCCTTAACATATCAAAATAATAATATTGGACTAAGGGCGCATTCCTACATTCAACAGAGTTCAGCACCAGGAAAGCCAGAATCGAGTCTGAACATGCTGATTGGCAATCTGCTGTTCAGTACCAGCACTGAGCATGTTGCACAAGCCAGGTCCGCGGCAGTGCGATGCGTGTCAACAAAACATATATATACATATGGCTAGTTAGGATATTTATGTTTGTATAGCGTAGCTAGGCCAACTATTAGGGAGGATAACACTTGTGTACTTGTATCCCCCCCTTCTCCCTTCCTAGTCCACTTTTTCCTCGCCATTCTGACATGGCATCTACAGCTCACCCCCCCCGCCCCTAGTTAGGTGTGCGTTTAGGTATGCCGCTCATGGCATTTAGGTTTCGACCCCCCTGCTCATGCTTCCGCCCCTAGTTTCTAGGATCGCACCGCTCCACCCACCTCCTAGCCGCCTCTAGCGTTAGTCCCCCACCCCCCCCACCCCGTAGTCAGCTCGCTAGCCCGTCGCCTGCTCGCTATCCCGTCACGACTACTAGCGCCAGCCCGCGCCTCCTCCTCGTAGCCCGCTGCTTGTAGCCTGCCAGCTCGGCCCGCTCATAGCGTGCTCAAAGCCTGCTCGCCCCACTCGCCCGCTCGCCTGCTCGCCAGCTCGCTCACTAGCTCGCCAGCATTCTCGCCAGCCTGCCAGCCAGCTCGCCAGCCAGCTCGCCAGCCCTCTCTCCAGGTTGCTCGCCAGCTTGCTCGCCAGCCAGCTAGGCCGCCAGCCATCGCCAGCCAGCCATTCGCGCCTGCCAGCCAGCTAACCAGCCGGTCACCGCCAGCCAGCTAGCCGTGCCCACCAGCCAGCTCGCCAGCCAGCGCCGCCAGCCAGCTAGCTAGCCAGCCAGCCAGCAGCTGCTGCCGCTGCCACCGCTGCCGCCGCTGCCGCCGCTGCTGCCACCGCTGCCGCCAGTGCCAGCTAGCTCGCCAGCTCCTGCCAGCGCCAGCTAGAGCTGGCCTGTGCTTGTGCCAGCCGGCCAGGACCCGCCCATGCCTACCCGCGCCAGCGCCAGCCCACGCCAGCCGCCAGCGCTCGCCACGCCAGCTACCAGCAGCGCCAACCACCAACGCTCGCCGGCCAGCTGCCAGCAGCACCAGCCACCAGCACTAGCCATGCCAGCTGCCAGCAGCGCTCGCCAGCGCCAGCTGCCTGAGCCAGCCGCCAGCCAGCTGCCACCTACTCCTCGCTCGCCACTGCCGGCTCGCCGCTGCCAGCTCGTCTCCGCCCGCTGCATCCCGCTGCCACCCACTGCCGCTACTGCTGCTGCTGCCAGTGCAGCTACCACTGCCACATCTACTGCCGCCCGCTACCGCCCATTACAGCCTGCTACACTGCTGCAGCCACTGCAGCCAGCCAGCCAGCCAGCGCCAGCCAGCCAGCGCCGGCTACCGCCACCAGCGCCAGCAGCCTGCTACCAGCCGCCCGCCACCAGCGCCAGCAGCCAGCGCCCGCCGTCGCGCTGCTGCCAGCCACCACTGCCCGCTGCTGCTGCCCGCCGCCGCTGCCCACCAGCCGCTGCTGCCCGCCGCTGCTGCCAACCGCCACTGCCCGCCGCTGCCCTCCAACTGCTGGCTCGCTGCCAGCTAACCGCCAGCAGCGCCTGCCAGCTCGCCACCGGCAGTGCCTGCCGGCTAGCCGCCAGCAGCTTCAGCCAGCTCGCCACCAGCACAGCCTTCCCGCCCACCTCCAGCAGCACCTACCAGCTAGCCGCCAGCAGTGCCTGCCAGCTCGCCGCCAACAGCTCCCGCCCGCTCGCCAGCTAGCTCACTAGTCAGCTCGCCAGCCTCTTCGCTCGCTCACTCGCTCGCCAGCCCACCGCCAGCGCGCAACCTCATTGCCCGCAGCTGCCAGCTCACCAGCACATCAGCTCGCCAGTTCGCGGACAGCTTGCTCGCTCGCTTCCAGCTTGCCACCTCTTGCTACGAGCTCACTGTCAGCTAGCTGCCACTGCCGCCCTACCGTCACTCGCTACTGCTGCCGTCGATCCGGCCACAGCCACCACTGCTGCTATTTCTGTTAGTGCTTCTGCAGCCCCTAGCGCCTCCCGCTAGTCTCCTACTCATTTCCTGAGTTTCTCGACGGTGCTCCTCTCGGCATGGTGACCTCGGTGTGGTCAGTCTCTCGGCCGGACCGCCGGACTGTTCCCTTCGCTCTTCGGCTTCTCGCTCATCACCTCCAGCTAGTGAGTCCGCACGTAGATTGCACGCTCATGGAGGACCACATAATTTTGCTCCTTGTTTCTGGCTCTACGAGCTCAAGGTACGCTACCTCTAGCAGTGGCAAAAGGAGAAGCAGCCATAGCGGGGTCCTGGGAGTGTTAGGCACGGTGGAGGCCATGGAGGTGAGGCCCCGAGGCCATCACTGCCCTGGGGCCAGTGTGGTTTCTCTGGAGGACCGGGGGCCTGGGGGCCTAGGGGTCTAGGTCCCACTGTGTCTAGTCTAGGAGCCTCAACTACGTGTCCCCTAGGCTCCTCCCCTGCCCCTCCTATGGCGGCCCTCTCCCACATAATCGACTATGGCATGTCTTGCTGCTTCTTCCGCAACAGTCCAAATCTCCCTAGCAGACTCCCCAGTCACAATAGTTGCACACACCACCACCACTCTCCCTTGTCCAGCTGTCCCCTCTAGCTCCCTCACAGGTCTGCACATCCCTACGTTTGCCAGAAACCTAGTTGGTGTCGGTCACCTCCAGGACCGAGGCGTCACCACCATGTTTCCTGGCTACGCGAGACACGCGGCCTACATGGACACAACCACGGGTAGACATCTAGCCACTTCTGAGCGTGACCCAGCGTCCGATCTCTTCATCCCCAACACCGAGTCCCTGCCAGTTGCTGCATCTACTGAGGTAGCCGCGTCGTGCTCCTGTCGCTCCCTCACCCACCCCGACCCTACTGTGGCACCACCGCTTAGGTCACCTTACACACCCGCGTCCTAGGCACATGTCCCAGCACGGTCTAGTTGCTGGTCTTCCTGCGTCGCTTCCAGCCCTGCCTACGTCGGAAGCGCCCCTTGCACCTCCTGCATCGAGGGCCGGCAGAGCGCCGCCCCTCACTTCTCCTCATTTCCTCCTACCACAGCGCCACTATAGACACTACACATGTATGTCTGGGGTCCTGCCCCGGTCCATGGTCATAGTAGTTGACGACTTCTCGCGTTTCACCACAGTGTTTCCGCTCGCACCAAACACCGTCTGCTCGTGGTTCGTCTACACTCTGACCGTAGTGGCGAGTTAGCCTCTGGCCGTCTAGGACAGTTCTGTCGTGCGGTGCGAATCCGCCAGAGGTACACACTGCCAGACTCCCTACAGCAGAATGGGATCGCTGAGCGACGCATCGGCTTGGTCATGGAGGTAGCTCACTCCTCCTTGATCCACGCTGGTGCACCCCATGTTCTGTGGCTATTCGCCGTACGCTACGCAACTCACCGCTCCCTACGACCACATGTTTCGCCGACCCTTATCTGGACCAGGTCTCCTGGTGACGTTTTTGTGTTACACGTATGGGCCAGCCTTGCTCAAGTCCGTGCCACTCTCGCGGACAAGCTCTCAGCCTGCACCCTTTCTTGTGTCTTCGTGGGGTTTCCGCTTGATGCCCCTGACTGGCTGATTTACAGTGACGGAAAAAATTATCCGGATGTTTAGCATGTTTTGTCATTTTGATGAGCTGTACTCTGTAAACATTAAGCCTTAATCTATGGTGAGCATACACGTTGAGAAGATCAGTTAGAGCACTCATTCAAGTCCCCTAAAACCAGAGTAGTATAGTACAAGTTCCCTAAACACTACAGCATTTAATAAGAGCACATCCGGACAAACAGCAAACTAGAAACTAGCAAAAATAGTACCTAGTCTAGCGTCCCTTTGCGCGAATCACCGCCCTGATCCTCCTTGGCATACTGTCAATGAGGTTTGAGCAAACTTCTGTCGGAATCTTGTCCCATTCCTCCTGCACCCTCTCCCATAGCTCCAACATTCCAGTGGGAGGCTTTTCGTACTTTGCCAGCTCCCTTTTCAAGTGGGCCCACAGATGCTCTATCGGGTTAAGGTCCGGGGAGGACGAGGGCCATTCCAGCATCGCATACTCCTGCTCCCCAAGCTAGTCTTGCACCAGACGTGACTTGTGCTTGGGATCATTATCGTGTTGGAATATGACCTCTGAGGGGGGGAGCTTGTAAAACTCGATGGTGTGAAAGAGTTCGTCTTGCAATATGCTGCGATACAGCAGCCAATCCATCATTCCATCGATCTTGCACATGAACCCCGCCCCCTCATACGTCATGCAACCCCACACCATCACAGAGCCACCCCCATGTTTAACTGTCTGCTGGATTTGGTGGCTCCGGAGGTTGCTGCCCTCGCGAATCCAGGTGTACACACGTCTGTCAGAGCAGAAACGATTAATCTTCGTCTCATCGGACCATATCACGCACTTCCAGACTTCCATCGTCCAATCGGCATGTGACCTCGCAAAATCCAGCCGATCTCTTATGTTTTTCACAGAGAGCCTGCGCTTCTTAAGCTGCTGCACAGCGACGAGCCCCGCGGATCGTAACGAGTTCTTAACGGTCATCGAGTCTACAGCCAGAGCGTGCTTCTCCTCTAACATCTTCACGGCGTCTACACTGGTTTTCGCCTAGCCGCTGGTAATCACACGCACTATTCCACGATGGAGGCGAGTTGTGATTAAGCGTGGGCGACCGGCCGTGGGCATCGTGGGTCGCACCTCATGGCGACTTTCAGCCCGTTATCATGCACGGTACTTTTGCCTATGCCAAGCTCCTTGGCTATTTTCCTAGTCGACTGCCCCTTGCGCAACATGCTAAAGATACGTGCGCGCTTCTGTTGGTTAGAGAAGGCTATAAGCAGATGATTCAATGGCTCCTTGGAAATTTCTCCAGCACTTCGTTATGACGCCCAGAAAACTTGCGACCTTCGAAAAGCTATATCCAAAACTCCAATTGGTGAAACGATCTGAAAACGGGGAATGTTGTAGCTTGCAGCGTTAGCTTTCCACTGAAAGTTGAATCACTCGATTCCGTAGCTTAGCGAGTGAGCTAAGGCGTTTGGCGCACTGGAGGGTAATCTGCCCTAGGAGAAATTGACAGTTTTCAGAATCACTATGATTGAAGCTTACAAGTTCAAAGGCATGATAGAAAAGGCATTGAAGCACAGTTGGAAGGTGGGTAGGAAGGGAAGGATGAAAGGGAAGGACCCTGGAGGCCCATGGTCAAGAACATGACAAGAGTCAAAGTCTTGACTCCCCATCCTCAGGTTCAACCAGCCTGGCAAGACAAAATTCACCTTGTGCCAGGTTGGCCTCCAACCCCCAAATGCTGCAACTGCAAGGTGAGGACAAAAGTTCCACACATGCTGGTCCCTCCTCGTTATAGGGCTCTCCAACTTTGGTGTAGCAGCTGCCAAGGACTTCCTATGAGTTGTAACAAATCCATCAAACACTTCTTCGTAACTTCTTCATATGTGCTCCGATTCCAACAATTCTTGGCTCGTTGGAATGTGCTCGATGTCATGCACAATCCAAGCACATCTGCACAAGCACAAGATGAATATGTAAAGACATGCAAACCCAACAAACCACACAAACAACGTAGCACACAAAACACATGCAACGAAATGATGCGAACAGACGACAGGATGACATGCAAACGAATATGCACCAACAGCTTCTTCTCACCTACCGGCTTCATCGTGCTGCCATCGTAGGTTTGATTATGGACTAACTCCTATACTAACAACTGTTGTGTGAAACGGTGTGTAGCCTAAGTGGCGAGCAAAAATAGACCTAGACTGTCGCTTGGTATAAACTCTCCGCATCGACTGTCGATGAGAAAGTCTCATCCCCGCTAATTCGATGAGTGACAATCGCGCCAAGCTGCATACAGTGGAAACATAACTCTACGATCTTGTAACAGGATATAAAAAAATTGGTGTTACCATATTCAAAACATGTGTAGCATAGCGATAAGTTATGAAGTGTTAAACATCCGGGCAATTTTTTTCCGCCACTATACCATCCGGTACACCACCATCTCTACCAACCTCATGACGTTATCTTCGACGAGACGCTCCCCTACTACCGGCGCTTCTCTAACCGCAACTTTATTGTCCCTCCTCCTCCTCTCTTCCGCACCCCTACCCCACCTGCTGCACCCCTCCGACCCCGCCCGGCCCCGTCTGGTGTCTCTCACGCCACTCTGTTCCCCTCGGTCGGGCCCGTGGGGGAGTCAGCTGCCTCTCGAAGCGTAGCTGTTGGGGGTGTGCCTGCTGTCCCTACGGTTGCTCCGCAGCCCAGGTAACCCAGGCACCTTAGCAGCCTCCCCCCTCGCCTCAGCAGCAGTAGCAGGAGCCGCAGCAGAAGCAGAGGGACAGTGGGCTCTGGAGGTGCTGGTTCTGCGGGTGCTGGTTCTGGGGGTGCTGGCTTTGGGGGTGCTGGTTCTGGGGGTTTTGATTCTGGGGGTGCTGGTTCTGTGGGTGGTGCGTCCGGGGGTGCTAGTCCTCAGAGTGCAGTTTCAGAGATTGACGATGGTAGCCGAGGTAGAGCTGGAGGTCCTAGAGAGGACAGGGAGTAGCAGCAGCAGCACCCGCAGCAGCAACATCAACTACAGCAGCCACAGTCTGCCCTTCGTCTCCTTGGTCTTTCCACCGATATCCCTAACTGACCGACCGTCCCTCCTCCTGTGCCTCACGCTGTTTACGGCGCGCTGTTTCCTACCCCCGGATTCCTCTCTGGTTCCCTTTCCCCCGTGCTCTCCTCCGTCTCTTCTCTTGTCCCCCTTTCCCCCTCGTCCCTATTCCTCCGTTCTTCCCCACTAGGTCCATCGTCTCCTCATCCTAGTGTCCACCCCATGGTCCTTCGTTCTCGTGCTCCTCCCATCCCCATCCTTCCGTCACCTCCCCAATCGTCACTCTGTTTGTCCTCTGCTCCTCCCACTGACTCTACTCGCACAGCTCGTCCAGTCCTCTTGTGCTTTCTTCCATCGCTTGTCATTGACCCTACTGCTTCTCCTGAGTCTGTCCCTACGCTTTTCGCTGTTGTTGCTGACTTCGCTGCTAGCCACCGCCTTGACTGCACTGCCGCTCTGGTCTTTGATGTAAGAAATAGAGTTGAAATCATTAATAAGGTAAGGAGCCCAAGGCTCTATAAGTACATGGCAAGGTGAGAGAGAATGGATGAAGGGGGGAATCGGAGGGAATCCCCATTGGGATCTCCGGAATCTCCAATTGGGTAATTGGAGATTCGGAGGATCACAATTGGGTGAGGTTGGGATTTTGTGAGTACAACCCAACCCACCAGAACATTCATAACCTAAACTAGGATATAAAGGTACAAATACAAAATTGGGATTTGCAGTCTATCTCGAACACACCCCCATAGACTGCAAACCTGGTCAAGGAGCACATAGCCCCATGGAAAGGAGAAGACGATGGTGGTCAGCCTTGCCGAGAGCCTTGGTAAAGAGGTCGGCGAGGTTGCAATCTGAGGCGATGTACCGTACCGTCAGCTGGTCACTCTGAACAAGATCTCGGATGAAGAAATGACGAAGTTTGATGTGCTTGGTGCGAGAGTGGAACACAGGATCCTTGGTGAGGTGAATGGCACTCTGGTTGTCACACCACAGGGTGGGCGACTACTGGGGGTAGCCTAATTCAGCGAAGAGAAAGGAGAGCCAGCGTGCCTCTTGAGGAGCCATTGTGCCCGCGTAGAGCTCGGCCTCGCAGGACGACAGGGAGACTGCAGAGGACCGAGTGGAGCACCAGCTGATGACTCCGCTACCAAGGGTGAAGCAGTACCCTTGGGAGGAGCGTCTGTCAGTCTGGTCATCGGCCCATGAGGAGTCTGTGTATCCCTCGAGCTTGACTGGAGAAGTACCACCAAGAGTGAGGATGTGAGACTTGGTGGCTTGTAGATAGCAGAGGACCCTCTTGGCTGCAGACCAATGAGAGGCAGTGTAGCGTCCGGGGGAGACGTACCGAGAGAGGACACTAACCGGGTAAGCCAAGTCTGGTCGAGTGCACATCATGGCATACATGAGTGAACCCACTAGCTCAGGGTACGGGTCCTTGCAAGCGTCAGAAGAAGGAATTGGAGGGGCCGTGAGCTGATGCTGTAGTGGGAGTGGAGTGGAGACAGAGTTACTAGAGTCCATGCCAAACCGCTTGAGAAGGTTGTCGATGTAGGAATCCTGTGATAGGGTAATCGTCCAAGCCTGGCGCTCACGAGTGATCTCCATCCCCAGGTAGTTCTTGAGGTCACCAAGATCCTTCATGAGAAGGGCAGAGCTGAGAGCAGAGTGGACAGCTGCCATCTCGGCTGGATCTCTAGCGACTAGA